AGGGTAGGTGAGGTGTGCCGCCGATTCGGTGGCCGGGCCCGGGTGCCCGGGTGCCCGGGTGCCCGGGTGCCCGGATTCGCCGCCGATTCGGTGGCCGGGCCCGGATGCCCAGGTGCCCGGGTGCCCGGGTGCCCGGGTGCCCGGGTTCGCCGCCGATTCGGTGTCCGGGCCCGGGTGCCCGGATGCCCGGGTGCCCGGGTGCCCGGGTGACGGGTGCCCGGTGCCCGGGTGCCGGGTGCCGGGTGCCCGGGTGCCCGGTTCCCTGTAGCCCTATAGCCTTATAGCCCTATATCCCTATCGCCATATAGCCCTATAGCCCTATTACCCATATAGCCCATGTAGCACCCAAGAGCCCATATAGCCCTACAGCCCTACAAAGATTATGGTTTGGGTCTCTCTCTGGTATAATGGTGTACCACATCTAACCAGGCTTGGTATTAGTAGATGCTTTGGCAAAAGAAGGGGTAAGCCCGAGACGAGGGAGAGGGTCCGAGGGGAGCGACACATTCAAGATCTGTGAGACCCAACCCAGCACCCTGGGGCAGAGACGGTAGTGGGGCACGTGGTCTCTCGCACCAGCACATCCGAGATTGCATCAACCACCGCCCTCTTGAAATCGAGCCACGGAAAGCCAGCCCCCTTCGAGCGAGTTGACGTACGCCGACGCCAGAGCCTTAGGCAACTCGTTGCACGCGGTTCGCACTGAATCCCAATTCGTATGATCAATGGCCTGTGCGCCCTGCGCGAACCCACTTTTCAGGCGGCGCAGCAAGGTATCAACAATGGCTGGAGGGTGGAGGCGACCCGAGATTTCAGCACAAAGGGCGCGATGAAGGTTCGGTCGAGCACCAGATCTGCTGAAAGGGCCCCGCAACTCAGCAAAGATCGTTTGGGCAACGTCCAACGCACCTCTGCCAAAACTCGCAAGGGACTGCGAAGACGGGAAGCCAGGACCGGCTTCTCTTAATTGTTCGACGATGCTTGTGTCTGCCCAGGGCGACGGGAACAACTTGTTTTCAACGACGTGCCTGGGTACTCTCTGAATAATTACTGCAGCTCTCCAGCGCCAACATAATGCACCCGATCCTCAGAAGGTCCAGAAAGCAGCTCGCATGCGGCCAACAAGGCTAATCGCCAGCCCGCTTCGAAAATGAAAGAAGTTCGAGTGTGAGGAGGGGTGATGCGGCACACGCAATACCGAGGCCAGCACAGCAAGTTCGGACTCAGGGCAGACGAGTGTGAGAGGGAGGAATTGACCGCCATAGGAGAAGGCAGTCGGAGCCCGCCTGCCAAAAAGCACGGCAGCAATGGATGTGGGCGGGAACGCGGCAGCGATCTCACGAGTTTTATTGGGTATGCTTAGCTCTGGGCGCTAGCCATGATTGGTGGATGGCAGCTCCACCTGGGATAATTCCGAGAAGCTTACGCGTGGAAGTGATCTGGGAAGGAGACCACTCAAGGATGCCAGCGGCAATCCAGGATCTGTATGCTTGAAGCCAGATCGTCGTACAAGGGTCCCGCCAGCAGCGCGAGTATACATTCACCTGCTTTCAAATGCAAGGCAACCTGCGAGGCTGCAATCTTGGACATTTGAAGCACGCCATGACCACTGTTCATATAAACCACAACTCCCAGGGCATCCGCGCAAGAACGTGCTGCGACTTGGGAAGGACACCACGCTCGATTGGGACCAACCGGTGGGGCGATCGCAGGAGCCTTGTGCTCTTCAAAATCTTCTCCCAACTGTGCCAAGAACAAGTGAGAGGACAGGGCGCGCAAGTTTCCGCTACATGGGCAGCACAACCGGAGCAAAGCATTGCCGGCCAAAGCGCGACAAAGAACAGTAGCATACATAATTCGAACGACGCGTGCAAAGGGGAGGGGCAACACGGAGGAAACCGTCACAAAGAAACAACCACTGCTGAGCAAGACTTGGAAATGCCCGGGCACAACCGACACTGCCAAGTGCAGGGAGGGAGCGGGTAGCGGACTCCCGCGTTGAAACAACTCCCACGTACGCGTCCAGTACTGTCACAATCACACCGTGGCCCCATCCCATCACGAACCCCCGCCGTACTTCACAAAGGTGGGGACCATCTCACCTGTAAGGCCAGAGCGCAGCAGCCATTCTGATCTTCACGTCGGCGCGTTTTAACATCAGAGGTCTGGTTTGGGCAACGTCCCGCACAATTCTACATGAGTTGTCGATCTCGCTCCCCCCTCCAGAACGAACAATTCTCGAGGGTGGTTGGATTCGCAATGCATGCGCAATCCGCGGGGGCGCCACCACATCGCCGCGGTACGTGTTTGAGGCCCCCCTCGGATAGCAAGCATGGGCAGCATGGGGAAGCCCGTCAGTGCAAGGGGCGCGATGGGAGGCCTTCTGGAGGACCAGGGAGATCGCGCGCTGGGCGGGCGGAGGACGATTGAGGGAGGCAGAAGAACTCAGAACCCGCAGCGACGTCCACCACCATGGGGCCAAGCATCTGCCCCCAGCGCCTATCAAGGGCGTCCAGCATCGACTCTGGTCGAGAGCATGACGCATGGGCGGGGGTCCTCTGGGTGAATCGCGCTTCTGAGCTGGGCTTGCTTGCTTTCGGCCATCTTGTGATAAATCGCTGTCGCCGCCGTCTGCAATTCGACCGGGTGGCGAATGTGGATGCAATCCTCGGTCTCCTCGACTTCGATGTCATGACGAGCACGGCGATGGCTGGAAATCAAACGGCGGCCCCGTCGCATATCCTGCTGCCGCGCTGCGCGGGATATAGGTTTGTGGGTTTGTGGATGATGTGCGCACGGGGCTTCTCGCGACGCTCGAAGACCATGATGTTTTTTGTATGCGGCGCAGCTGCTCTCACAGCATTTCCCAGACATGTGAGAAGGAAAGGCCGGGGCGAAGCGCTGGCATCAAAGCCCGCGGCTGCTGTTCGCACGATCTTATGGTGTTCGGGGGAGCAAAACACGTCGGGAGGGATCGGGCGGTCATCGGATCGAATTGACTATTTGGGGTTTAGCGCCGTGGACACAGCCCCGTGGTTTGACAATTCAACCTGGTCGAGCACTTCCAGGAATCGATGCACTTGCCCCGCCGTGCTCAACTGGTTCACCGACCAGCCTGGCACACTACGACGGATGCGTTCAAAGCGTGAGGTAGCGTGGATGTATGTGCGGTATTGCGCATGATTTCCTGCCTCCACTTCTGCCGCATGCCTGCGAATACCTCGCAGCGCCGATTCTAGTTGCTGGTGCCATGCATGCTGCTGCTAAATGAAAAAGCGATCATGCAGGTGCCGAAAAGAAAACATGCGAAACGTTTAAAGCCCCCGACAACGATCACGAACGAACGGAGGGGAGCCAGGCCAACTGGATGGTCTGGAGTACGATGATTATTCTGCACACCGCGATGTTATGATTGTGCGAATTCCGGTGCGAGACCCAAGCCAGATTTGGAAGAGAGAGGGAAGTCTGCTGAACGCGCCCACTGGGCCAAACCTGATAAACCATTTGAGTACGACTCGAATTAGTTAGATTGTCAAACACACTGGCACGAACGCAATAATGCCGACCGCCCTGCCCGAGTCGGAGTCGCAGGGGGAGAACGCCTGCGCAGGACAGCAGAGGAATTCAACATCTTCAACCCTGGAGCCATGGCTCCCTCGCGCTGGACAAACAGTTCCCAGAGGTCAGCCAAATTCAAACTCCGCAGCCCGCGTCGATGATGAAAACGCTCGTACGCTCCATGAGGCGATGAACAGAGACAATGCCTGTCCAGCCTTCCCTGGCCAGTTCTTGAAGGACTTGTCATGAACACCGCGGCGTCGGTAACGAGGAGTTGGACAGAGTATTGTCGAAGCGGCTCTTGGTCACCTTCTTGACCATGCCCAGCTCCTGCAGGTGGCCATCAGCGAAATGGACCGGTGGAGACTATCCAAGACCACGAATGAACATGCGAAGCAGCTTCCTCCATTTCGCCGAGGCCGTGCCTTGCGTTTTGTCGGCGTGGAAACATATGTTGTGTGGCGGCGCGCCGAATGTGCTGCCCAGCTCGCTCGAGAGCAATATCTGTCTTGACCGTGCACGCGTTCTTGCCCTGGGAGGGGTAGATCTTCGTCCAGACGCCCATGGGTCGGGAGTAGCGAAGCGTTGCCATCACCCGTCTCTGCCCTTGAGTAGCGCCACCGCCTTCGCCACGCGCTTGGCCGTGAGGCTCGGTTTGCCCTGGAAGTGGATCGTGATCTCGGAGTCCGTTGAGCCAGCTTCGACCGCGACTTCCTCACTAGGGACCTGGAACTGGTTGAGCCATGGCTGGGGTGCTGCGCATACATCTGCCTCAGCGCACATCAGATTTCTACGAGAGGTTCTGACGGTCGGGCCTGGTTCGCGGGTGGAGCTGTCATCTCACATCGGCTGCACAGTGTGGGTCGCCAGCTCTAGATGATGCCGCAACGGCTATCCGATGGCAAGTGTTTGTCTTCCATGGCTGTGATGCGTTCACCTTGAGCGCGGCTGGTGGACTTCATCTGAGGCAATCCTGAGTCCCATCTGTTTTCCGAGCTCCGAGCATGACTTCCGAGCTCGGACTGCCAGGGCTGGTCATTACAGTTGATGGCGTCCAAGAGGACCGCGCGGCGAAGGGGCAAATGCCACCGCGGCCCCACGACGGCGATCATCACTGCGATTGCGGCCTAAAGAGAGAAAGGCGTCGGCATCTGCACCTGCAGATGCTGTTGCACCACGTTGCGCAATGTCTTCGCAGAGCGAAAAGGGATGCAGGGACGGTGTGGGAGAATTCCCGACAGGGGTGAGAAGGGATACGTCGGGTGCCCCCTCGATGGTCGTCGCACGGCAGCGGAACCGTCTCCTCGAAATACCGCGACAAGGAGTTCACGCCCTGCTCCGAAATGGCTAACTCGAGCCCTCCTCCCCCTCCTCCTCTTTCTCCTCTTGGCCATCTCCTCCCCCTTCTCTCTCGCCCCGCCAAGGGAGGCCGGCTGGGCGACCTCCGCGGCGGCCTGGATGTCCACGGGGGGCCTCTCCAGCTCCTCCGCCCGCGCGCGCTGCGCACGGGGGGAGGCGGGGGGGAGCGATAGTCGGGTCGGACGAGACGGGGGTTCGCCAAGGGGGGCTGGGGGAGTGAATCAGTTCACGCAGCTGGCTTCTCCGGCGCTTCCCGGCGCTGAGCGCTGGAACGCGCCAGGCGGAGCCGACTCATGCAGCACGCAGCAGATTTCGTACACCCCCCTTCCCCTGTCCTCCCCTTTCGTTCGACCCGTCTCAGGGGAGGGGGACGGCGGGCATGGGAAGGGCCGAAGAATGGGCGAGGAGGAAGAGCAGGGGGGAGACGAAGGCTGGGGGTGAGGAGGGCGGAGCTGCGCATTCGACCACGGACTCCTTGATACCCGTCGGCCTGGGACGGTCTGGAGCGGACTGCTGGCGTTCTTGGGTGGTATGCGGCGGCGTCCAGCTGTCCTCAGCGGACTCTGGCGCGAAATGCAAACGGTTGCGTTCAACGAGGGGTCCATGATCGAACACCGACGGGGCGAAGGTGACGAGGGTCGAGCATGAGCAGGACTGAGGAAGGAAGAGGGCGAGGAACCTCGCCCTTGCTCCCCCAGCTCCCTGCTTCTCCTCCCCTTTCCTTCTCCTCGCCGTCCCCCTGGGCGGGCTCCTCCACCGCGTGCTGCGCAAAGGTCACCTGGCTGGCGGGGCGAGGGGCGCGGTACCGAGATCGCCTGCCGCGAAGGGTGGGGGCGAGCTGGGCGGCGCCCGAGCGCAGCCAGACGAAACGGGAGCAGGGCTGCAATCAGACGATGTCAAACGCGACATGATCGAAGGATGGGGGAGCAGTATACCGAAAGAGCCCAGACTCATCGCCCGCTCGAAGATAGGCTCAACTACTCCTCTGGGAGCAGAGGGCCATCCGAGCCGCGGCAAGCCCGCTCTCGGGCCCGAGCTACAATGCAGACACCGAGTTCAAACGCTTCCTCCCTGGAGCGCCCAAACATTGACAGCCCTCTTTGAGCACCGGGAAGAGCAGCAGGAGCAGGGCGACGAGACGGAGGCGGACGAGCATGAGGAGAGAGAGGAGGCGGGTAAGAGGGGGGTCGAGCGTCCCCATGAATTCTATATATATATATATATATATGCTGTTCGATTTGCGCGTGTCATCCCTGCGCAGGGGCCATGCGAATCTGCTCTGGATCTGGAAGAGGAGGATCAGAAATCACATCGGCCTTTTGGGTTAGGTAGCTGCGGGTAGTCAACCTTCGGAGGGTGTAAGCAATGCTCTTCTCAGTAAACGCCCCCTCCCCCACTCGACTGGCTGCCGACCAAGAACAATGATGGCACCCGTTCCACCATCCCTGCCAAAAGGACAGCATAAAGTGGACCTGGCGGTAACACCTGGGTCATGGGCGGGCACCCCGCGATCACTTTGCACTTGCATTTTGACAAGACTGACGGTGGTGCGAGCATCTTTGCCCGCTGCACGCTCGCCAACGGACCGTACCAACAACGATTGCAAATGCATTGCGGGTGCGCACGCCTTCCGCCATGTTGGCCACCCTGTGGAACCATTCCATTTTCGTGGACTCCTCCTCCTCCTCCTCCTCCTCCTCCTCCTCCTTCCCAGCTCCCTCCTCCGTCCTCACTTCTCCCCATCTCCAGTCTCCATTCTCCCCCCTCTCTCCTTCCTCCTCCAAGCCGCAGCCCCCCCCCCTGCGCAGATGCGCAGACAGGCCCCAGCGCCGGGTAGGCCTGCATGTCCCCGAAGCTGACCTGGAAGGTCTCCGCCCCCGGGTCCAAGGTTACCGTCTGTGCGGGGGCCGCTGGCACGAACACCTCCACCTCCCGGGCGCGGCGTGCGGGAGTGGCGGAGGAGGGGGGGGGAAGATGGAAGGAACAAGAGGAGGAGGAGGAGGAGAAGAGGAGAAGAGGAGAAGAGGAGGTGGCGGATGAGCAAGAGAGTGACAAGGAGGAAAAGGAGAACGAGGAAGGAGGAGGACGAGGACGAACAGCAGCAGCTGGAATTGAAGGAGCGGGAAAGGCAGGAGGACCAGGGCAAAGCGGAGGGGAATAGGAGGAGGGTGATAAAGATGAAGAATGACTCGGATCCAGAAATAGGCCCGCGCTGGGGCGAGAGCGCTTGTGTGAACGCCAGGTGCAAAGCCTCGATCCTAAAATGAAGCCCACGCGGCAACGGGAACGCCAGTCTGGGAGGACCGACAACGTGAGGATAGGACAAACAAATTTGCAGGCCCAACGGGCCAGAGGCGTGCTGAGATCTCCGCTAACAGGTGTCGAATAATTCTAGTTCGCGCGCGCGTGCAGCCCCGGAGGGTCGCCGGGGAAAAATACCCTGGCCGACCTCCGGCAAGGTCCCGTCCGAGATGGCTCTGCTCCTGGGCGCCGCCCTCGGGGCTCCCCAGACGGTCCTAAGAAGGGCCAAGAGGCCCCCAAGAGGCCCCCCAAAAGGCCCCCAAGAAGGTCCAAGAAACCTCCGAGACGCCACAAGATCGCTCCAAGACGCACAATATGCCCACCAAGCAACCCCAGAGGCCTCCAAGACGCCCCAAGAAGCCTCCCAGAGCACTCGCAAGAGCGCCCCAAGACGCAAACATCATAGATTGTCTTCAGGTTTTTGGAAGACTTTTGCATTCTCGCCATTTCGGCTTCCCGACGCTCCAAGACCGCCCAAGAGGCCTCCAAGAGGGCCTGGAGACGGCCCAAGAAGCATCCAAGGTGGTCCAAAGAGGCCCAGGACGGTCCTAAGAGGGAGGAGGCCCAGAGGGGGATCCCGAACGGACATTTCGAGCCCTCGGCCCCAAGAGGCGCCCAGGAGGCCCCAAGAGGCCCCCAAGAGCCCCCCAACATCTCCAAGAGGCCCCCTGGAGGCCCAAGGAGAGTCCCAAGAGGCCCCCCAAACAATCCCAGGACGCTCCCAAAAGGACCCCAAACTGCTCCCCGGGGACCCGCAAAAGCCCTTCGAGGAGACCCCAAGAAGACTCCACGAGGACTCTGACCCATAACCCAGGCACGGTTGCTCCGCAGCGCCGGAGGGACAACGAACACGCGGGCAAATGCCAGCGATGCACAGGCGGAGTGAGCGAAACGATTCGGTTCCAGTATGTTTCCCCCCCCCCCCCGCGATTTTCAGATTTTCCAGAAAGCCGTTCTCTCCCTTCCTCCTCACTGTTCTTCCGCCCGCTTTTTCCTCCTCTTCCGTCTCTCTGGCTCTTCCTCCACCCTCTTCACCCTTCCAATCAGAATTCCCAGTCGGAGGCCGAATGACTGAACACACGGCGAACAACAAAAGTTAGCCTGGCGAAGAACCAAACCAGATGCAGGTGTGAATGCCGTCGTTGTTTGCAACGCACTCGGAGGAGCTCCCTATATGGCCACGAGGCGTGTGAGATGTGTGCCGAAATGTGTCCGGTGGGCGCATGCGAACGCAGCCATTGGGGACGTCGGTGGAGCTCCGTGATGGGTGTACCAACATTGGTGCGGTGGGCGCATGCGAACGTAGCCACCGAGGCCTTCGGTGGAGCTCCCTTTGGGGCCAGGATGCGTGTGAGTTGTGTGCCGAATTGGGTGTGCGTGACGCATGCGGGCGGTGGCACTGGGGCCTTCGGTGGAGCTCCCCATGGGGCCACGAAACGTGTGAGGGGTGTGCCGAGATGGGTGTGCGTCGCGCATGCGGGCGGTGGCACTGGGGCCTTCGGTGGAACTCCCTGTGGGGCCACGAAATGTTTAAGGCGCCGAAATTGGTGTGCGCGACGCATGCGGGCTGTGGCACTGGGGCCTTCGGTGGAGCTCCCTGTGGGGCCATGGAACTTGTGAGGGGTGTGCCGAAATGGGTGTGCGTGACGCATGCGGGCGGTGGCACTGGGGCCTTCGGTGGAGCTCCCTGTGGGGCCATGGAACTTGTGAGGGGTGTTCCGAAATGGGTGTGCGTGACGCATGCGGGCGGTGGCACTGTGGCCTACGGTGGAGCTCACTGTAATGCCACGAAAAGTGTGAGAGGTGTGCCGAAATGGGTGTGCGTGACGCATGCGGGCAGTGGCACTGGGGCCTTCGGTGGAGCTCCCTGTGGGGCCAGGATGCGTGTGAAGGATGTGCCGAAATATGTGTGCGTGACGCATGCGGGCGGTGGCACTGGGGCCTTCGGTGGAACCCTGGTAGGGCCACGTAACGTGCGAGGGGTGTGCCAAAATCGGCGTGCGTGACGCATGCGGGCGGTGGCACTGGGGTTTTCGGTGGAGCTTTCTGTGGGGCCACGAAACGTGTGAGGGGTGTGCCGGAATGGGGCACGGGGGCTTTCGGTGGAGCCCCTGGTAGGACCACGTAACGTGTAAGGGGTGTGCCGAAATTGGTGTGCGCGACGCATGCGGGCTGTGACACTGGGGCCTTCAGTGGAAGACCCCGGGGAGGCACCTGTGGGGCCACGAAAAGTGTGAGGGGTGTGCCGAAATGGGTGGGCGTGACGCATGCGGGCGGTGGCACAGGAGCCTTCGGTGGAGCTCCCTGTGGGGCCACGGAACGTGTGAGGGTTGTGCCGACATGGGCGTGCGCAACGCATGCGGGCGGTGGCCCTTCGGTTTTCGGTGGAACTCCCTGTGGGGCCACGAAATGTTGAAGGGGTGTGCCGGAACTGTTGTGCGTGACGCATGCGGGCGGTGGGGCGCATGCGGGCGGTCCCAGTGGGGGCTTCGGTGGAGCTCCCCATGGGGCCACGAAGCGCTGTACTGGGTGGGGAGGAGGGCCATGGGTGGGCGAGCATGCCAAAGTGGGTGTGTGGGACGCACGCGGGCGGTTCGCAGTGAGTCGTCCACTCCACTGCTCGCGCAAGCATCCCCCCACCCACCCGCAACTTGGTTTGCAAAACCCATGCGGCCGCTATTGCGATGAGTGCTTGGTGTTGGCCGGTGCATCTTTGCGGCCGCGCTAGCCCGCGCATGCTCGCGCGCGCAGCGGCCAGCTAGATTGGCGCGACCGACGCGAACGCGGTGGCGCTGACCGCTCGGCACATCCCAGCGGGCACTTCAGTGGAATCGGCGACTTGGGCGGGCGCGGTATCATGGCCACGTCGACAATGGTAGACACGAACATGATAGTAACGATGTTGGCGGCGATGCTGACAGCGACACCGGGGCACCCAGTGACGGCGCCGATGCTGATCACTCCGGCGACAATGACGGCGTCGTCGCCTCGGTGGTGAAGGTTTTGGAAGGAGTTCGAAATGCGCGCGCGGCCGACGCGCGAGTGGCCCGCATGTTATTAATTTTGACGGATCATGTCCCCCCCCCTCCCAAACGCGCGCAAGGGCGTTCGAACGATTTCGACATGCGCGCGCGAAACCCGTTTGGTAGCATGCTCTGATTTTTTTGAAACACCTAAGGTTTCCGGAATAATTCGCAAGAGCGCGCGCGCAAGCTTGTTTTGAACATCCGTGTTGCGAAACCCTGTGTTTTTTGTATGTTGTTTTAACACTCGATTTTAGATTCCTTAAGAAACCTAGGGTTGTTTAAGGATTTCGGCATGCGCGCGCGACGACGCGCGCGTGTGCACGCCGTCCCATTTGTTAGCAAGGGAGTCTTGAAAAAAGGGCAACGGAACGCTGCACTGGGTGTGTGGGACGCATGCGGGCGGTCCCACTGGGGACTTCGCTGGAGCTCCCCATGGGGCCACGAAACGAGTGAGGGGTGTGTTGCAACGGGTGGTGATGATGATGGTGATGGAGGGGGGAAGAGGGGAAGAAGGAGGAAGAGGAGGAGGAGGAGGAGAACGTGGGGACCGTTATTTCAAGACGAGGAGCCAACACCACAGGATGGTTGGGCAACACTACATGCCACAAACAACAATAGAACAACCAAACCATATGCATTTGTGGGTACTGCCGCTGTGTGCGCTGCATTCGGTGGAGTTCCCTTTGGGACCACGAAGCGCGTGGAGCGGTGTGCCAAAATGGGCGCGGGGGGGGCAGGCGAGCGCTGGCGTCTGGGCCTTCGGTGGAATTCCCCATGGGGCGACGATGCGTGTGAGGGGTGTCCCTCATTGGGTGCGGTGGGCGCATGCGCGCGCTGGCACGTGGGCTTCCGGCGGGGCTCCCTACGGGGCCACGAAACGTCCGAGGGGTGTCCCAACATGGGCGCGGTGGGCGCATGCGCGCGCTGGCACGTGGGCTTCCGGCGGGGCTCCCTACGGGGCCACGAGGCGTGTGAGGGGTGTCCCAAAATGGGCCACCTAGCGTGGTGGAACTCCCCATGGGGCCATGAAACGTGGTGAGGGGAGTTCGGGTGCGGTGGGCGCATGCGAGCGCTGCCATATGGGCCTGCGGTGGAGCTCCCTGTGGGGCCACGAAACGTGCGAGAGGTGTGCCAAAATGGATGCGGTGGGCGCATGCGAGCGCTGGCATCTGAGCCTTCGGTGGAATTCCCTATGGGGCCGCAAAACGTGTGAGGGGCATGCCACATTGGATGCGGTGGGCAAATGCAAACGCTGGCATCTGGGCCTGTGGGGGGGCTCCCTATGGGACCATAATGCGCGTGAGGGGTGTGCCAAAATGAATGCGGTGCCTTATGGGGCCACAAAACGTGTGAGTGGTGTGCCAAAGTGGGGGAGGAGAGGAGGAGGGGGAGGATGGGAGGAGAGGGCGCGGGGCGCAGTCTCTTCAAAACGACGACCCAACACCACAGGATGGTTGGAAAAAAGGGGAGGAAAAGGAGCAGGAGGAGGAGAAGGAAAATAATGAAAAGGATGAGAAACATTATCCTGGCGAAGGGCCCAACCATATGCAGCTGTGCGTACCGCAAATGTGAATATCTTATTCGGTAGCAACGCCTACGGGGCCACGAAACGCATGAGGGCTGTGCCGGGGCATTCGGTGGAGCTCCCTGTGGGGCCACGAAGCGTGCGAGGGGTGAGCCGAACTGGGTACGGTGGGCGCATGCGAGCGCAGCCACCGGGACCTTCGGTAGAGCTCCCTGGGGGGCCACGAAACGTGTGAGAAGTTAACCGAAATGGGTGCGGTGGGCGCATGCGCACGCAGCCATTGTGGCCTTCGGTGGAGCTCCGTGTGGGGCCACGAAGCGTGTGAGGGGTGTGCCGACATGGGTGCGGTGGGCGCATGCGAGCGCAGCCACTGGGGCCTTCGGTGGAGCTCCCTGTGGGGTCACGAAGCGTGTGAAGGGGTGTGCCGAAATGGGTGCGGTGGGCGCATGCGAACGCAGCCATTGTGGCCTTCGGTGGAGTTCCCTGTGGGGACACGAAACGTGTGACGGGTGTGCCGAACTGGGTGCGGTGGGCGCACGCGAACGCAGCCACTGGGGCCTTCGGTGGAGCCCCCTGTGGACCACGAAACGTGTGAGGGGTCTGCCGAAATGGGTGCGGTGGGCGCATGGAACGCAGCCATTGTGGGCGCATTGGAACGCAGCCACTGGGGCCTTCGTTGGAACTCCCTGTGGGGTCACGAAGCGTGTAAGGGGTATGCCGAAATGGGTGCGGTGGGCGCACGAACGCAGCCACAGGGGCCTTCTGTGGAGCCCCCTGTGGGGCCACGAAACGTGTGAGAGGTGTACCGGCATGGGAACGGTGGGCGTATGCGAACGCAAACATTGGGGCCTTCGGTGGAGCTCCCTGTGGGGCCACGAAACGTGTGAGACGAAACGTGTGAGGGGTGTGCCGAAATGGAGAGGAGAGGAAAGGAGAGGAGAGAGGGCGGCGCTCCTTTGGGGGGAGGAGGAGGGGGGAGGAGGAGAGGAGAGGAGGAGTGGCGCGGGGCACTGTCTCTTCAAAACGAGGACCCAACACGAAGGATGGCTGGGAAAAACGAGGCGGAGGAAGGGGAGAAGGAAGCGGAGGAGGAGTAGCAGGAGGAGGAGGAGGAGGAATTGAAGGAGGAATTGGAGGAGGAGGAGGAAGAGGAGCAGGAGGAGGAAGACGAGGAGGAGGAGCAGGAGGAGGAAGAGGAGGGGCGGAGGAGGAGGAGGAGGAACTGGAGAATCGGGAGAAGGACAGAAGGACGTGGAAGGTGGATGTGCTAAGAAGCCTCTCTCCAGAGTTACCTACCGTCCACTCTCGTCCTGCGCGCTGCACATGCCACACCGAAGGAAGAGAGTAAGGCACGAGGGGCGGTCGCAGGGGGGGTGCACTCGGGGGGAACTCAACATCTGCATCTCCTACGTCTGCTTCGGCAAACCAGGCGCGAGCCAGGGCGGCAACCGGAACCTGAGACAATTGAAAGGGCGAGGCGTGGCCAGAGCCAGGCACAGACCTGCGCCCGAGCTGGCAACTCCTACACACTGGTCTTTCCTCCTTACTTGCACGGCTTTGATCGAAGCGAGAAGCGGCGTTCAGGAAATGATTCGCGCTCCGCCTGCAACGCGTTCCCCGCAGAGGAAGCCGAAGTGCGAGGCGACCGCTTCAACAGGGTCCCTGCACCGTGCTCGCAGGTTGTCCAACACTGCTGGCTGTATACCGACGCATAAGATATGTTGCAACACAAAATGCGGCACCCGCTCCAGTAATTGCTATCCTCCCGGAAACTGCAGCAGCAACTTCAGTTCCGAAAGCGTGGGCTGTCCAACACCTTGCCCCCTAGCTGTGGGCATGCGTTGACCCACCTTCCCATCGTGCGCTCGGCGTCCAATTTTTTCTCGCAGCGCAGAGGCGACGCAGTGATTCAAAAGCATAAGAGGATCACCGCAGCAAGGCTGCGCCACCACGTGCGATTGAGGAGCGTCTGGAACGCAAGCGCGGGAAACAACACAAGAACATGGAGACAATTTCGCTACTTCGGCAAGAGCCAACATTGCAGTGCGACTCCAAACCAGCTCTGCCGCAGAAAGGTCATGGTTACGAACGTGGGCGCGCGCTGGCGGATAACGAGAAACTCGCGCACGCATCGTTCCTGGCAAGAACAAGCTCCGCGACCTCATCCGCCCCCGCCCCACACATACACACGCACGCACGCACACGCACACACACAGACACCCCCCACACACACACACACACACACACACACACACACACACACACACACACACACACACACACACACACACACACACACACACACACACACACACACACACACACACACACACACACACACACACAAAAACACACACACACACACACACACGCGCGCGCGCGCGCCGATGCCAGGCACCAGAATGACAACACCGCCGCGCAGAAGAACAACAAGGTCTTCAAAGCGAGGGGAGCCTCCAATCAAGTCGGGGGAGTCCGTCTGACCCCTTCCTCTGACGGGCAAATGAACTAAGAAATTGATGCCGAAATCGGACTGGGCGCAACGCTTCAACGAACGCCCCTCGATCACCGCGGACTTCCAGAGGCGCCAAAACTGCGTCGTCATGTCGCCTTGTGCAAGACCACGAACCACTTCAAATTCACGGGAAGGAAACACAGGGTACATGATGAAGAAACGCGTCGGCATTTCAAGTCGCATACCCGACCTGCTTAGCATCGGAGAGCTGCTACCCCGACTATTGGACATCTCTCGCCACGAAGACGCCATCGGCGATCTGGTGGAGCCTCGCCTTGGAGAAGCCCACATGACCCAGCGGGGCCTGGTTCCAAAGTGCCTTCGTCGTGGCGCCTGGCGCGACCACCGACCGAGCCCATGGCTCCAGTTTGGCCACCAGCTGGCCTCCTTCTTAGTTCATGAATGTCGTGGGTTGCAGTTGCTCGTCTAGGGTATATCGGAGCCTCTTGAGAGCAACTTATGTGGCCGCTTCGCGCTTGTCCTTGTCGGGACTGACGTGCAGGGGCACGCGCCTGCCGCCAGCGGTAGCAGCGTGGAGCTCCCTCCAACCACCTTTAACAATATGCAAAGCGCTTTGAGCAAGGCGACGGCGATGCTCCATGGTGGCCTCCATCGGACCAGCGAACCGCCGGATGATACATGTGCGAGTTCCTCACCTTCAGCAGTGACCTCGGTGCCGAAGGTGCACCCACGGCTCCCAGGTAGAAGCAACATCCGCAACGCTAAGTGGTTCAGGGCACCGAACACAAAGAATGCTACGATCCACCTCGCCGCTCCACTCGGGCGATTTTGTTTAGCCGCATATTAGGGCGCTCGCGAGCCAGGACCAGCTCATCCTCCAGATGGGCCAGCTGGGCCTCGAGAGCAGCCTGGGCCGAGGCACAGACATCCATCCTGGGCTCTGCCTGTTCCCAGGGTCGGTGTAGAGACCCCCAACTCTTGCATGAACTGCACCTCCAATTGTTTGATAAACGGCCCCGTGGCCGTCACCAAAGTACGAGGTACACGTCGCTCATTTCTACTTCTGCTCATTTCTACTTCTGCTCGTTTCTAACTGTTCCTGGCCCCCTATTGGCCAGGAAGAGGCTCGGGATAGAACACTTAGAAATGAACGGATCTTGGCCCCCCCGAAAAGTCATATATTTTTCGAAGAATGCTTCGCGAAGAAACTGGGTGGCCGTCTCGGTGAACTCCGCGATGGCGGTGCGCTTGAAAGATTGAACTGCTCCTGGATCGACCCTTGGGCGCAAGGGTCAAGGCCGCGCGGATGCTGCCAGTGTCCACGTATGTCCCCTCCATGTGGTCCCTGTCACTGTAGATCAGCTCCTCCGTCCCCGTCGCAATCAAAGAATGCAGGGGCAGCAGTAGTCGCCATTGCCGGTGCTTTGAGATCATCCTCACCTCCGAGCGCTGCGCCAGCGCCCCGACTGCTCCCAGAGCGGACCTCGCCTGCACCTTCGGCCTCCGTCCGAGTGGCGGCAGCGGCTGATGCCCTGGAGAGGGCCTCTCACCACGGCGCTCTTCGCGAGGAAAGACTAGGACGGGCAGCAGGGGGTGTGCCCTCCAACGCCGGCGAGGGTGACCTCCAAGTCCGTCTCGAAGGGGTGCCCTTGGAGGACTTGTTGCTTTCGGTTTCCTTTCTGGCCATCGCCTCCCATGATGTGGGTGTCGCGTTTGCTGCAGAATGCATTAGATCGCCGAAAAGAACAGCCAGCAGGTAGGGACAGTGGTGTCCCTCAGAGATGCTTGGGCCAGACCCGTCGGCTATATCCAAGCTGGAAGCCCCAGGGCAAGGTTTCCAACTTCAGCCGAAGAGGCTACGGAGGATGGGGAGGATAAGAACGAAGTGGGTACGAGGAGGAGGGGGGGAGGACGAGGACGGGGGCAGGTGAAGAAGAAGAGGGATAAAGAGGGGGAAGCAAACTAATAAAGGAGAACGACACCTGCAACCGTCGGAAAAGCTTGGTCCCCCCCCTCCTGCGAATCACTCCTTCCCCCTGCCTCGTCCATCCCCTCCACCTGCCTCATCCTACCCGACCTCGCCTTTTCATTATGCTCACCCGCCTCTCTCCATCCTCCCCTCATGACTTCACCTTCCCCCCCCCCCCTCCACCCTCCTCCCCCCCTCCCCCCCCCCCCGCAGCAGCCGAGGGCGCGCCGGAGTGCCGCGGCCAGCGCGGCGGAACGGAGGAGCCTTGATGGGCGACGGGTCGGCCAGAGAGGTGGCGAAGCGGAACGGCTGCCCTATCTTGGAGGCCGGCGCCTGCCCAGTGGCGGGGGGCACTCCTGTCTGGAGGGAGCGGCTCGACGTCCCGAGGAGGAGATGTGCGAGGAGGGGGGAGGAGGGGCAGGGAGGGGGGTCGAGGAGGGTACCTAGAACCGACCCTCTGGAATACGGTGGTCTAGCGGTATTTGTCTTTCCTCTTCCGAGAACCCTCTGCCTTTTGGGGGGGCACCCTCCCCCTGCCCTCATAGAGGTCTTGTGTGTGCGTGTTGTGTTGTGTTGTGTTGTGTTGTGTTGTGTTGTCTTGTGTTGTGTTGTCTTGTGTTGTCTTGTGTTGTGTTGTGTTGTGTTGTGTTGTGTTGTGGTGTGGTGTGGTGTGGTGTGGTGTGCTGTGTTGTATGTTGTGTGTGTGGGTCGCGACTGGTCAAGGCGTTCAAGATGGCTCCAAGAGCGCCCCCGATACTCTAAGATGACCTCCGAGGCGGCTTAAGATAGCCGAAGATGGTTCACGATTGCCTCCGACATGCCTTCAAGATGCCCGACGGGGGCCACAAGACGAATCCAAGTGCTCTCGGAACCCCCATCAGGACACCCCCGAGGAGCAAAATTCCTTCCAACACCTAGGGAGCATCAATGACTTGTGCCTCCTCGCCGTGTCGCTTCTGTGCGCTTTTGAGGCCCGAAGGTGGCCCCAAGAGGGCCCCGAAGATAGCCCCAATATGAGCCCAAGAGGCCCCCAAAACGGCCCCAAGAGCGCCAATAACCTCCCCAAGAGCGCCCCAACGGGGCAATTTCGAGGGCCCCAGAGGGGGAGGGACAAACGACGCACTCCGCGATAGCACCAAAATGCCGCGGTTATGTCCCAAGAGGCCCACAAAAGAGACCACAGAGGGCCCCAAGAAGGCTATAAGACCCCACAAACGCGCCCCAAGAGGTCCCAAGAGGACCCCGAGATCCCCGAGAGGAACCACGAGAGGTCTCCGAGAGGCGATTTGGAGGCGCCAGCCTTGTCCTCGTTGTCTTCCTCATCCTGCTCCTCCTCCTGGTCCTTGCCCTGATCGTCTCAATTTTCCTGTTCCTCCTGTTCCTCGCCGTCGTCGTGTGCGTGGTCGTGGTCGTGGTCGTGGTCGTGGTCGTCGTCGTCGTCGTCGTCGTCGTCGTCGTCGTCGTCGTCGCGTCCTCCTCCTCCTCCTCCTCCTCCTCCTCCTCCTCCTCCTCCTCCTCCTATTCCTTCTCTTCCTCCTCCTCCTCCCCCTCTTCCTCCTTCTCTTTCGCTCGCCCCGCGCAGGCCCCACAAATGGCCCGAAGAGGCCCTCCAAAAGCACCCCCTTGCTCCAGAGATCTCTTCGTTGATCGTGGTTGCGCGCTCTGTCTCACTACATGTGCCGATTCGTCTCGTTTCTCGCCAACCCCCATGGGGCAGGGTATCTGACTGGGCTGGTGAGGATGCGCGAACGGTGAAGAACTTGGTCGCAAACTCTGCCCTCATGTTTTAAAAGCGTTTTAGACAGGGACGCCGTCGACGCTCCTCTTGGGAACGCTCCTGCGGCGACCCTGGGACCCCGCGTCCTCGGCGCTTTGGGGCCGATCCCGACCAAGCATGGAAAAGGAAAAGGACCGCGAGCAGGAGATCTGCCACCCATGCTCCTCCAGAGGGGCAGCCCCGTGGCCAAGCAAGTCGGGCCCTGAATGGTCCGCGCGTCCGGCTTCGCGCAGCACTGCTGAATCTGACTCCTCGCGGGCGCGGAAGGCCTCCAACATCGCTGTGGGAGGGCCCTCGAGCCGCAGGGACGCGGACAAAACCTTTGGCGAGCCGAGCGAGGTTATCCGAACCTTTTGGGCGCCCGCGTCCGACAATGACAATGAAGATGCCTGGGGTCGACGGTGGCGTACAGCACGCAATCGACAAAGAAACGCAGCAACCATGTTTCAAGCTACTGGAGCTAACGCACGCGCTCGGTGAATCCGCGGCCTCTGGCGGCTGGCGCATCTCCGCCCCCTCCCTCCGCGCGACCCCCAGACTGGATGTCATCTGGGGGGGGGGGGGCGAGCGTGGCGTGGCAGCGAACTCCCTGACGGTGTATTTCGGGTCGACAAGCTGGCAAGACTTGCACCGCCAGAACCGACCAACGCACGTTTCGAGCAAGTTGGTCGAGCTCCGAGGGGCAGCGCCGAATTTCCCGGGCGTTGGGGTTGGCGGAGTTTGTCTTTCAATCCTCGTCCTGTCCGCGGCCCCTGCTGCTACAATCGGCCCTTGGCGTGCCCGACGCCGCATCATGTCAACGGAATCTGCGTCTTGACACCGCCCCATCATCCCTGCCCCAGTCAGCGCCGCCGCGACTCCCGCCCAAGCGCCCGCGTAGGCGTTCCCACCAGCGAGAAATTATTCACCTGATTGCCGAGCTGTGCCATGCATCCTTCCTGGTGCGACTGGAACACCTGGGCCCCGGCGGGATTGGTGCACCTTCTATTGGCTGCTCGGGCCCTGGCCCAGAGATCCTTGATGCCTGCCAGTCAGGTCTCTTGAACCTTCCAATCGCATCATTGGCCCGATTCCAATGATCCGTTACGGGAGCGAACTCTAATTCTGGAGCTGTCATGGAGCACGGCAAATGGCCAGGACCTCGACTCGGGGACCTTTTGTAGCTAGCTCACCCAGGGCCTTGCCGCCCGCCCGCCCCTCTCCGCCATCCTTGGCGAGGCCAACGACGGCTGCCTCGCAGCGCCGCCTCCCCCGAACGTCCGAGCGTTTGCCTCCGGAGCCGTTTCCGCATAAAGAATCCTGCCGGATTCAGTGCATCTGACAAGGCCGACTCTACGGCATCCACTGCGATAAATGGCGACGAGTACCCCATCAAACTCTGGGGGCGCGAGTGTCGAGGGCGGGGGCCTCCTCAGCATGCGCGCGGGCTCGAGATCCATCTGCGCCATGGCCTGAAGGGCGAGGTTCTCGGGCGCGTGGAAATCCTCGCGCCCCCAGGTCCCCCCGCAATCTCAAGTCCTGCGTCGGGGCGTTTCCTCTGCCGCCTCGCGCCGCGGGCAGGGCGTCGCGATGACTGCATGTCCTCCTTTTTTAACGCCCCCCGCGTGTCCGCGGGCCTTCCGGCGCCGCCGCCAAGTCGAAGGCGCCGGCGCTAGCGTCTCCGTCTCGCTGGAACCTGCGTTGCTCTCGTCGGGCGCGCGAAACGTCAATCCGCGCTTGATTCCCGCCTCCGTCTTTATGTTTGGCGCCTGCTGCTGGTAGATCTGCGGCATGTCGCTGGCGATGTCTCCGGGCATGGCAGCGCGCCCCCTGTCCTGGGTGCAATCGTCGTCGCTGCTGCTGGGAATATGCCATGCTTGGCGTTGTCCACCAGGTAGGGGCCGCTCCAATTCGGCAGCTTTCAATGCCGTCCAACCAGCGTCCATGACCGTCACCCCGATGGAGGCGATGGGGCCGTCGACGCAAGACCGCCTGCGCGTGCCCATTATGATGGGCTTGGCCCTGGCTCTAGCTCGGGCGAGCTTGACTCGCGAGTGCAAATGGAGACTCAACTGCCATAGGGGCAGCCATTCCATGGCCGCTCGTTTCTGCAGCTCCAGGTATGGCCCCTTCATCGCACCTGTCCCCTGTCAGCGCCGAGGCTGAGCCTCCGCCGCCTTGGCGTGCGACCGCGAGCTGATCCGCTCGACGACTTTGGGGCTAACAGTTGATGAGGTGCCAAGCCGAAGGCTCGGCGTCCGCGCGGCGCTCGCGGGGGGGGGGGGGCGCCTGCGGCTGGGCGGCGCGACTCCTCGACGCACGCGCATGGTGCCATTGCCTTCCCAGGCCACTTCGTTGTGGTCTTGACTGCCCGCTTCCATCTTGCGCCCGCGCCTATGCTCAGATCATTGCAATCCTGAACTGCCTACGCTAGCACTCCACGTCGTAGTTTCGCCTCCTCGGATTTCTCCGCGCCCTTCGATGCGCCGACGAGCGCCGTCTTGTCTGGCGCCGTGAGAGGCCGCCCCCGCGCGCCACCTGCCACTTGGAGGGCCGCCACTCCCATGTCTGCGGGCGTCTTCCTCTGCGCGCGCTCCCATCCGATGGCCGCGTCGCCCGCGAGGGCCCGCGACCCTGCCCCGGGCGCCGAAACGCGCGCCCGCTGAACAGTGGAAAGCGGCGCCTTCGCGAGGCCGACCCGGCGGGGGGGGCCGGCTGCGATAGGTCGGGCCGGACAGATCACCTCCCCGAGCGTCGCCCCCCGTTTGCGGCGGCGGGGCCGCGCGAAGCCGGCGACGCCCATCTCCGCGACCGCCGCCGGGAAACCCGCCGCCGACGCGACGCCGCAAGGAGGGCGGGGCCCGCGCAGTCGCAGATAGCCATGCCGAGGGCGCGGCGCGACTTGCCCAGGCAGGCTCGCGCCAGCCCCGCTCGCGAGGCCAGGCTGCCCTCGATTGCCGCGACCCAGCGCGCGCTGAGGCCTTCGCGCCGCGACGCGCGCGGCGAGGCCCTCGCCCTGGGGCGCAGCTTCACGGGGGTGGGGGCGCGCCGAGAACTCGCCGCCACCGGCCGGTTTTGGGGCGAGCGGCCCCATCGCGGGGCAGCAGTGCCCTGGCGACGCCCCCGCGTGCTCGCTGCAGTTTACGACCCTGATCAGATCTCGCCGCGCCTCCGACGAGGGGCGCATGATGTCGCGCAACGCGAGGCCGTCGACTGCCCCGGCATTTTTAGGGCTGGCGATTGAAATCGCACATTCGAGCTGCCCTGGGGCATGTCCAGATAGTTGCCCGCCCGGCGGACCAGGTGCGCGCGGACGTTCCAATCTCGCGCTGCCCGCAGGAGGGCTCCACTCTCTAGAAAGGGGGTGGGGGGTGAAGAGGGGGCCAGGTTTGCTTGCCCGCATCAGTTTCGGCCGTCTGGTGAACTGCTGCCTCTGCGCAGTAAGCCCTCGCGCCTCTGCTGTCGCCATGCCGCCGTCGGTGTGATCTGGGGCGCGCTGGGCCCCCCCGCGGGTGCGCCCGCTGGTCTTCGCAACCTGCAACGCGTATTCGCATGCTTTGTATTTGCCCAAATACTTCTTGCATGTGTTGCCGGACCAGCTGACGCAGCCTCTGGTGCTCTGTGCCGAGGTAGGTATATTTCTGCGCCTGCTGCCTCGCGTCCGCCTGGGTCGCGCGGAGTGCAAAGCGAATGGGCTGGCCATCAGCTGGCTGGCAAGTCATGCGTTGACGTGAGGGCGTGGCTTTTGCCCGCTGCCGTCTCATCAGAACCCGCTGCCTCGCTCGCGGTGCTCGCTGACCCACGCAGAGCTGATGCGATCGTTCGTGATGAGCACGTCCTCCGAGGCTGTGCGGCCCAGACCGCGGACTCGCCTGTGACCCCCCTTCTCAATAAGGCGCTGGCTGAAACCGTGGACGGGGAGGTGTTGTCTGACTGCGTGCATCTCATAAGACAGCGGTGGTGGCGTAGCCAGATGCTTCGCGGTGGGCCAGGTCCGCCGTTGTTCGCGTGCAGCTGCGCGGCGATCGTTGCGATTGGACTCAGGGTCAGGCTTCTTCTTTGGGGTCTAAGCCCGAGGGGGAGGGCGCGGGAGATCCAACTTCCTATGCCACCAAGCGTCTGCACTGCCGAGGCTCTTGAGGATGTGGCCCAGGTGGGTGCGCCAGGGGGCGCGCGTCTCCGTCGTGAGCGCCACTGCTGTATGGGCCGTTCGTGCAATCGCGGAATCAATGTTTGTCTCTGTCGCAGGTGACACCTATATGTGGCTTAATCAGCTTGCCGCCTAGCATCTGTGAAGGGGAAGATGTTTCGACTGCACCAGGGGCCAAATCCCAATCCGCTAAGATCACCCACGGGCTGGTCACGGTCAAGGACTTGAGTGTGTCGTGATTGGTGCCCTTTTGTCATGCCCTCCTTGGGAAAGAAAAAGGGCGAAAGACGATCATGCCACTCGTTATGAGATGGAGATCCTTCGCAGAGAACCGTCGAAAAAAAGGTGTCTTTCGCTCCTGCAGTCATCATCGTCTGCCTCATCTTGCCGTTCGTGGTGGTCGACAGGTGGGCCTTCGCGATGGCAGCCTCGGCTCCGTTGTTGCCCTCCTGTGAACGTCCCGTCGCCGTCGCCGCGGTCGCACCTGCATGTCAATCATCACTGGCCAACTCCTGCTTGCACCTGTCCGTGGCGTGCTGCCCGATGTGGGTTTCCGCGGATGCAAAGACACCAGTCAGCTTGTGGTTCTCGTTGATGGCCTTGCGAGATTTCTCCCCCCAGTTGGTGATATCGTTGAAATTTTGTTTCATGGCATGAGAACGGATGCATTATCCGTGCCGTGTTGCTTGGGGCTGCCGTACCAAAACTGGGGCTGATGATGAAGCCTTGCGCTGCTAGCAGCTGCGCCAGCCTGCTGCCCCGACGTCTGCACGTCGTCCTTGTCGTCCCCCTTGGCGTGAGTGTTAGCCTCCCGCTTGACCTGATGCAGAAACTCTTGGGCGCCCGCCTGCTCCTCGGCGGTTGGCTCCGCTTTGGGTTTTGATTGCGGTATTGCAAATACTTGTGCTTGAGGTTATGTTTGAACCACCACCTTCCGCTTCTTCTTCTTCTTCGCGTGGTCCGCCTTGGTCTCCTTTGCTTTCACGACAGTCTCCAGCATCTCCTTCTCTTTGGTGGGTGCTTGACGCGAACGCTCCTGCGTGGCCGGCGCGTCCTCGCGAAACTTGGCAAGCTGATCCTTCAACATTCTTATCGAGGTCGTCCGTGTCCTCGAAGAGGGCCTTATCGACAGTGACCCCCCCCGACTCCTTCTCCTGGTCCTTGTCGTTCGTGACGTGCTTCTGCGTGCAGTCGGCGAGCGCCTGCGTATGCTCCGTCTGCGCCTGGTGCGCCTCCAACGCCGCGTTGTCCGTGTCTGTCTGGGGCGCTTGGGTGACCCGTCGCGCCTCAAGGAGGTTCGTCGTGATACCGTGGAGCATGCCTTTCGCCTCATTGATCTTGTCGGCTGCCTGCTTGAGCACCTGTTTCCCAGGGGTGCCCTGAAGCTTCGGCGCAATCTGCAAAGCGATGGTGCCCTTGAGCGAGGAGAGCTGTTCCGTCAAGATGGGGTCGTTGCCGAGCTTCTTGAGCGCAGTGCCGAGCTGGTCGCAGGCGACCCCCGCGTATGAGAGGGTAAGCAGCTTCTTCCACGGTGGAGAGGCGCCCGAGCTGTGGTTGCCCGCTGTCAAATGCGACGTGGGCGTCGCACTTGTTACAGTACCCGTCGTTCCATCTAATCTTCCATTCATACGCCCATTTGTCACACTGCTCTCAGCGCGTCCATTACCATGTTTGCTTCCCCTGCAACCCCATAGGCCGCTGATGAGCAGTGCGGGTGAAAGAGGAGGGATGTTGCTCTGCCAGGAGCTAACTGACACACTCGGGTCAGGCCGTGGACCAGCGGTATCTATGGGATCCCGCGGGGACCTCAAATCTTGAGCCAAAATGGCTACAGAGGTCGAGGAGTGAGAAGTGATGACGAGGAGGGGAGGAAAAAGAGGAGAAGGAGGAGGAGGAGGGGGAGGAGGGGGAGGGACGAGGAGATAAGAAGGTGAAGGCGTTTCGGAAGTCAAGCGTCAGATCTACACCTTGCGCCTCCCTGCTCACCAGATGGATGTAAGGCCGGGAGAGAGGCAGGAGAAGGAGCAAAGGAAAGCCTCCCATCCTCCGCTCACGCCCATAGCGCTGCCGCGGATGCGCGCGGGGCAGCCAGGTGAGCCAGCGTCGCCGGGACAGCGTCTGGGGCTGCTGGCGACAGCGCGCCCACGCCCGCCCTGTCGATGTGCGAGCCGCGACCGCAGGGCGGACGAGCTGCGACTCCCCGACGAAGTCGAAGTCCTTGGACTCGTTGCAGACGCTGCAGGCGACGTGGGCCCCGAAAGTGTGGAGATCTTGGCGTGATTTGACTTGCCATTTGCTGCTCGAAGGAGTCATGCCCGATTTGCGGACCGCCAGCCTGCGCCCGAGGAGCCCACGACGCGCCAACGGACGTCCACTGGGCGCACCCCACCAGCCAACACACGAGGTGCCCACGAGGCGCACGGGTGGCATCCGGTGGAGCACCCGAAGCCACAAGTGGATTGGGTGCTGAGGCAAGAAGACAAAGTAAGAATAACACCGCTATCGGGGGAGTTCCACTGCGAACGTCCAGGGTGACAGCGGATGCTATTACCTCAGTGTCCCAAAGGATTGCGGAGAAAGCCTGAAACTACCCGCAGAGCATAGGCGCGGGCAAGAAAAGAGGGGCATGGGACAATGGAACAGGTCCGGCCATAAAAGCACGAGCTACCTGCCCAGAAAGAACAGGCAGCGACAGGGCAACCGTCTGCACAAGAAATCACTTAAATGGGACAGGAATGGCAGATCGCGTCCTGAAAACGTCGTGATGGCGAGGCCGCCAGCCCGCCAGGGCGCGCATGCCGCACTGGAGCTCACCCGACCTCTTCCGGAACTTGCACTGGCATGTAGCTCGTGGACCGTCCGAACGTGCCCAAGTCTCATCCAAGTCTCGGACAGTTCGACTACCTCTGCTGGGACTGGAGGTTTGCACTCGCCGAAAGAAGATCATGCCGTCTCTCATTCCTCACACTGCTCATCATTTGTGCCAAATTCCTGACGCATACCTCAACACTGGACCACTCTGACTACGCTCCGTGAAGACGCAGGCACGATCCAGAGTCCCGCAACAGCAGCGCAAACATACTTCTGACAACGATTGCACATTCCCAGCGCAAGCGGATGGGGCGGTGCCGTTGTGAACGAACAACAGCCTGCAGCGTCCACGCACACGGTCTGGAGCAAGACGGCCCACCGACGCGGCAACGAAACAACTCCGCTCATCATCATACTCTCTCCTTCATTGTCTCCAAGCAGCGCTTGCACTAACAGCATCTGACATTCCTAGTTGTTTCGGGGCTTCGCCTGGTCGCCACCCGTCGCCACCTCGTGGACTAGATGGGCTTCCTGCATTTGCCCCCCAGTCGCCGCCCGTCGCAGCCTCTGGTTCTTACTTCGCTTCTGAGCACTTGGATCGGTTGCCCAGGTTTCGGCACAGCCGCCCAATTCCGATCCCCGCCCCCTCATGAGCTGGCTTGACTTTCTGGTTGTTCGCTCGGTCCCCGCCCAATCACCGCCTCGTGTGCCAATCAAATGTCCGGGGTGTTCGCTCTGTCGCCGCCCGTCGCACTTTTGTGACCACCTCGTGTGCTGCTTGGGTTTTCCGGGTTTTCGCTCGGTCGCAGCCCGTCGCCGTTTCGTCACAACCTCGTGTGCTGCCTTGGTGTTCTGGGTTTTCGCTCGGTCGCCGCCGGCCGAAGCCTCGTCACCACCTCGGTTGTCGGTTGTGTCTTCGGCGTGTTAGCCCACGGTCCGCTCGCCGCCGCGTGGTCGCCGATAGACTGCAGCCCATACATTCCTTCTCATCCTGCAGGTGACCTCTTCAAGTCTACCCCGATGCCGAGGCAGGAGGGTAAGGAAGAGAAGGAGAGGGATGGGAAGACGGGGGAGCCGATGGACGCAGCAGGCTGGCACAACGGGGCGCCCAAAGCGCGTATCGGTGGGGGGCGGGACCTGTCTCTTGGTGTTGCCCACCTTGATGGACAAAAGGCCATCCTCGGCAGCGGCGGCTTGCGAGGAGAGAGCCTCCTGCTCCTTTTCCTCCTCCGCCTTCTTCCCTCCCCTGCCCTGCTCCTTGTGCGCCTCCCGCCCCCTCGAGTCTTTTTTGTTGTCTCCTCCTCGAACCCTCCAAACGTGTCCTGCTGGTCCAGAATACCCTTGTCCTCGTTCTCCCCTTATCAGCCTCCCGAGGCCCTCGTCCCCTCCACGTTATCCAGCTCCTCCCCGTCCCCTGGGTTCCTTGGGACACCTTGGGAACCCGACGCATCCATGACAACGGAATTGCCCTGAAACCGTCCAAACCCTCATCCACCTCCATTCCCCGCACGGACCCGTCTTTCTTTTTCCTCCTCCGCTGCATTCGTTTCTCTTCTCGCCTTCCCTTCTCCATGGTCCCCTTTCCCCTCCATCGTCCACGTCCTCGTCCTGTTCCTCCCCTGCACTTCGTCCCCCTCCTCCGTCTGCATGTTCCTCATTCCCCCGTTACTCCTTAGCTGTGTGGACTGCGGCGCACGATCCATTCTAGGATTTAGGATACCCCTCTCCCTCCTCACCCGTCCTCTTGCCGCTCCTTTTCATCCTCCGCCTCCTACTGCCCTTCATCCCCATGCCCTTTCTTCCCAATAGTCCTTCTCCCCCCCCCCCCCCCCAACGCTACAGCGGCGCCCCCCCCCTTCCCCCCGCATCCTTTTTCGCGTTCCCCCCCCCACCCCGACCAGCCCCAAGGACGGGCCAGGCACCCCAAGCGTCCTCGGGCAGGCCCTTGGCATCCTCCAACACCTCGGCGAAGGCAAGGGAAGGGGGGGAGGGGGGTCGCCGCCGCAGACGCGCCGCAGGGTGCAGAGGTTGCAGCGTGGGGTGGGGGATCGCCGTAACCGCCGTCGGGGCAAGAGAATGCCCCGAATTTCGCGCGCGCTCCCGTGCAAGGGGGAAGCGCGGGACGGGGAGGGGGGCGTCGTCGTCGTCGTCGTCGTCGTCGTCGTCGTCGTCGTTGTCGCCGTCATCGTCGCAGGCAACGGAGGACGCGTCGTCGTCGCCGGAAGAGGGAGATGGATTTGGCGGGGAGGAGAAGAAGACAGAGGAGAAGGGCTGAAGACGGAGGACCCATGAAGGAGCTTGGGAGCGAAGCTGCGCGGCCGTAGGAAACAGTGTAGAATGCATGTATACACACATGTGTATATATATATATATATATATATATATATATATATATATATATATAGCCCACTGCGGGCGATAATAAGCCCCCCTGGGGTAATGAAGTTCGGGGGTTGGGGCGGCGGCGCTAGCCTCCTCGTGGGTGGCGTTATTAAGCTCACTGGTAAACACGTTACCTCGAACGACCACGGTGTGGAGGGCTGCTGGCATTGGCGGCCCTCGCCTCGCATCTCGCGCACGGCGCGCTCGTTCCAGCGACTCGTCCACAAGCCGCAGCTCCAACCGTCTACTTGACACCGTCTGCTGCTCGGTGCTGGGCAGTGCTCGCTAGGGCCACTAGCGCCGAGCTTGCGGAGGATCCTCGCGTCGGCCTTGGGAGGCCACGTGCGAAACCTACCCGCGATTTCTGAGGAGGAGGGCGGGGCGCACTTCGCTCGGCAGCTCCCGATCATAGTGAACCCCACCTTCCCACCTCAGAAATCGTGGGGTGTAGGCGTGAATTCGCATGTGGCCCTTTGGGCCCGCTTGGCGATCTCGGACGGCTTCTCGAGGGTGTCGCGATACTCCACCTCGACGCCGCCCCCGTCGATCCTCGAGACCTGATGGGAATTGCCACGAGTGCCCCCTGCCCAGGGCGCCCCCAGGAGTTGCTACAAACCGGGGCGAAACGCTGAGGGCACCCTGGGGGGGGGGGGGGGCATTGCAGCAAACGCCGACCCTGAGGTACGTGTAGTGCGCGGGCGCCTCGGAGCGCACACAGACCAGCGCGTGCTGGGCCTTGTCGACCCTCTCGGCCCAGCGCTCCAGCGCTTCTGCTCCTCGGGCAGCTAAGCGGCGGGTGCGTCCTCGCCCTGGCCCTCTCGACCGCCGTGGGCTCGACCGCCAGAACGTTGTCGGGGACGCGCGCGCGCCCGTCGATCTCGCCCAGCAGCGCGCGCACCGTGCCCAGCTCGAGGGCGTCGCCCTTGACGATCTGCTCGCAGTTCATGATGGCGTACTCCTTGGCGAGCGCGGTGCGGCGAGCCTGTCGTGTCTGGCGCCAGTCGAGCTTCTGCGGCCCGGGGAACTTGCAGCCCCGCTCGATCGTGACCTGTGGCGCTCGGGATTCGCAGGCGCTCATTAGCTTCCGCCTGCTTCCGCTTCGCGTTGCTTCCGCCTGCGTCCGCTTTCGTTTCTCTTTCTGTCCGCCAGCCCCCGCCTGCCCCGCTGCCCACGGCAGAAGCAAGCGGAAGCCAACGAGCGCACGTGACCCTCCCAGCCTCGCTGCTCTCGATCTGGAAGATCGCCGCGTTCTCCGCCTCGAGGACGCGCAGGCGGCACTCGTCCCCGGCGCCCAGGACTCGCCAGACGCCCTGCGCTCTGCCGAGCCCGCCCTCGTGGATGCCCTCCTCGGTGACTCGCGCCACCTTGCCGTGCCAAGGGGGCCCCTCGCAAACCTCGGGGCCGCTATTTAGCTCGGCCCTGTCCTGCTTCTTGGCGTCCTTCTCCGCTTGGTACTTCTGCGTGAGCTGCCTGGAGAAGCTCGCGTGCGCCTTCGGCGGCCTGCCTGTGAGCTTCGCCATGGCCGCGCCTCTGCTGGGGTGCTCGAGCGAGGTCTCGCCGCCAGTCTTGGCCTTCTCGCGCTGCCACTTGCGAGCGTGATTGCCCAGGAACTGGCCCGCGAAGTTGGACGCCCACCTGCCCTTGCGTTTAGCTGTCCGTTTCAACTTGACCCTGTTCTCGAGGGCGCGCGGGAACTTGATGTCCTTGATCCGCTCCTCTGGCGGTTTGAGCATGTCCTTCTGCTCGTCGGCGAGCTCGAGGTCCAGCTCTCGGAGCTCCAGGAGGCAGGGGTTCTCGTCCTGCTCGCAGTCCCCCGGCAAGTCGTCGTTGTGGAAGCAGTTGCCGTCGAGGACGCCCCACTCGGGCACGGGCGGCGCGCCCTCGGGCCTGCGCTGGATGCCCTCGAGGCGCGCCGGGCTGTTCTCGATGCCGCGGCCGAGATCGATGGAGTAGCTCCACGGCCCCATGCCCGTGACGACTTTGGGCTCGCCTTGCTCTGTCGGCTGGACCGCGAGCATCTGGTTGGCTGGCGGCCCTGGGAGCGGCACCGCGTCCTTGTTCTGCTCGCGGAAGCGGGTGTGGGCCTCGGGGGCACAATAGAGGCACTCGAAGGGCCCCCATCGTGTCCGGGACTTGTGCCCCTTCTGGGGCTCGGCCTTGGCTTGCTGGATCCAGTCTTGCCCCATGGCCCAAATCATTTCAACCTGAAACACGAGGTTCTGGCCGTGCTCCTGCTCGATGAAGTCGATGGTCCAGCTTGCCACCAGCTCATCCGCCGAGGCTCTCGGCTGCCCCGACGCGTCGATTGCCTCGAAGACCCTCGAGCGGTCCGCCTCGGAGAACTCGAGCAGAACGTTGCGCCAGCCCTTGCGCAATGCTCCTAGGGGCTCGCCTGCTTGAAAGCGCTCCGTCCGCCATCGCCCCGCTCGTAAGTGACGTCGCGCCGCCGTGTGCCCTCCTCGACGCTCGCGTCGCTGACTCGGCAGTGCCTTGCGCGGGGGACAAGGGGGGCGCTGCGTTTCTTGGCGGACTTCGCCCCCCTGCTCGGGTCGAACCAGTTCTCGACCGCGGAGATGTTGATGAGGGTGATCCTGTACTTGTCTCCTGCGCTCGAGTAGGCCTGCTCCACTTGCGCCTGGTGGCCGGGGTGCTCTGCCAAGTACTTGGCCTTCTCCGTCTCCAACTCTGCCTTGCTCTGCTCGTTGCAAGTCTCGCGGCAGTTGTTGCGGAGGTTCTCGATGCGTTTCTCGGCGCCCGCTCCGCGCACTGATTGGGCGCCCGAAATGGGCGCGGAAAGAATGGGCAAAATGCCCCGCAACAAATGCTGCCCCGAACCAACGGCGGCCGCTGTCGGGCAAGCGGCCTTCTGTCTCGAATAGACACAGGCCGCGGCGACACGGACGGCGAATCCTGTTCAACATGAACAAGAACTGGTGTTGGGCACTGTACCCTTTCCTTCCGTGCCCATGTCGCTCGTGCCGAGACCTCGCCCTTGCGGGCGCGCGCGCGATCCTCGCCGCGGAGCTTGAGCCAGAGCGCGGTGGCGTCGACGACGACCGCGCTCGCGCTGGCCCTGTGCTGGGCGAAGTTCTCGGGGCCCCCGACGAAGAGGCCGAGGTCCTCGGAGCCGCCCCTCGCCACCAGGTGCACGAACCTCGTGGTAGTAGAAAGCATAGTAGTAGTAATACTAGTAGTAGTAGCAGTAGTAGTAATGGTCGTAGTCGTAGTCGTAGTCGTAGTAGTAGTCGTAGTCGTAGTAGTAGTAGTAGTAGTAGTAGTAGTAGTAGTAGTAGTCGTAGTAGTAGTAGTAGTAGTAGTGGTAGTCGTAGTAGTAGTAGTAGTAGTAGTAGTGGTGGTAGTTGTAGTAGTAGTAGTAATAGTAGTAGTAGAAGTTATAGTAGTAGTAATAGAAATAGTAGAAGTGGTGGTAGTAGTAGTAGTAGTAGTAGTAATAGTAGTAGTAATACTAGTAGTAGTAATAGTAATGATATTAGTAGTAGTAGTAGTAGTCGTAGTAGTAGTAGTAGTAGTAGTAGTAGTAGGTAGGAGTAGTAGTAGTAGCAGCAGCAGCAGGAGTAGTAGTAGTAGTAGTAGTAGTAGTAGTAGTAGTAACTGGTTCGTAGTAGTGGTAGTAGTACAATAATACTAAGAGTCGTCGTGGCCTCCTTGAGCTGGCCTTCCACTCGTTGCCGCGGGCGCAGATCGCGCGTTTGGCAGCCCTCGCCTCGGATCTCCCGCAGGGCGCGCTCGATCTAGCCCAATTATTCGTAGTAGTAATAGTAGTAGTCGTCGTAGTAGTAGTCGTAGTAGTAGTAGTAGTAGTAGTAGTAGTAGTAGTAGTAGTAGTAGTAGTAGTAATAGTAGTAGTAGTAGTAGTAGTAGTAGTAATCGTAGTAGGAGTAGTAGGAGTAGTAGTAGTAGTAGTAGTAGTCGTCGTCGTCGTCGTAGTAGTAGTAGTAGTCACGAGTAGTACTCGTAATTGTCACCATTAGTAGTAGCTTTTCCCAACTACCACTGATATTAATATTAAGTAGAAACGCCACTACTACGACAAACTACTACAAATACTACTGGTACTACCTGTCCGCCGTGGCCCAGGTGAGCTTGGCCTTCTCCTTGCTGAGGGTCTGCTTCCTCTGGCCGGAGAGGCGCTGGCCCCTGCGCCCGCTCGCGTTCATCCTCGAGAGGACGAACTCGTCCTTCTTGGTCGCCTGATCAATCTGGAAGGTTCTCAGGCGCTTGGTCACCCAATTGAGGATCTCGGCGTCGTAGCTCTTGTGGCCGATCTTCTGCAGGTGGAGCTGCTTGTCCTGCTCGAAGGCCAGCTCGTAGCGCAGCCGCGTCAGAAAGGTCCCCATCCTGACGTCGCGGCCGCGCTCGCGCCCCCGCTTGAACCGGCGCTCGAGATGGCGCGCGATGCCCTCGAGCGGGCGCATGGGTGCGACTTGGCCAGTGATCTCGCGGGGCAGCCTGGCGCCTCGGCTCCTGTCGCGCCTCTGCAGGTCCACTCGGGCGCGCCCGCAGCCTCGGAGGCCGTTCTTGCCGTGCCTCGCCGTGGCAACCTGCTTCTCGAGGGCAGCTCGAAGGCCGTGCCATCGGGCAACCGTCTCGGGGCCCCAGTGCCGCTCGCGCTGCAGCTCGGCACTCGCTCGAGGCGGAAAGGAAGGCGGCGAACTTATTCGCGTTGTGCTCGCCCGCGTCCTTGCCCCAGCCTAAGAGGATCTGGAGCTTGGACTGCGCTGTTGGGTCTCGCCGCGGCGTGGGCGCAGCTCGGGGTTTGCGCGTCCCCATGTACTCCGCGCTCTTGCCGCGGGGTCTGCCACCCTTGCCGAAGCCTCGATTCGCGCCTCGGCCGAAGTCGCGCGGGGGGCGGGGGGCATGCCCGCAGCGCTCGCAAGCTCTCGGCGAGCGGCCGCGGCCGTGAGTCGCTCCTGCACGGGGGGGGGGGGGGAAGGGAATGCTCGTAGTATTACAGTCGACTCGCGTTGTAAGGATGGGCGGCGAAGATGCAAGGTCACTGCAAGGCCCAGAGATGGGCCGCAGTGGCAATAATGCAAGGGTATAGAAGGGTTGCTCACCCCTACCACGCGGGCCGATTGAAAAATTACACATAGGAGCAGGAAGAGAGGACAAATATTGGTGGACGACGGAAGAGAAAAGAGGATGGCCCCAGGATCGACTTTGAAGAAAATATTTGGAATCGGGCCCATGTTTTTATGAGTAGAAACACATTCTGTTTAACAGTTTTCACACTCGCATGGGGGGGGGGGGGGGGGGGGCATGGCGGGGCCCCGCTGGGAATAAACGAGCCCAGAGATAAAAAGTTCGGCCCCCTGGGGGGGGGGGGGGGGGGGGCGGAAGGGGGAAAGAAAAGGAATAGGAACACAAGGGAAAGAAGAAGGAAGAGAAGGCAAAGAACTTTTGGAGCTGCGGCCAGTCAGCACGAAGCGATAGCAACGTCGATCGGACACGTAAAAGAAGAGGAACATAAGAAACAGGCAGAAGAGAAAAGCGGAATAACGATGAGGAAAAGAAATCCTGCTCGGCCGTCTCAGCCTCGAGCTGTTTCTAGAAGCTCGCAGCAGAGTCGGCCGTCTCGCAAGGCGAGGTTCTCAGCTTCTCGTGCGAGCTCGGGGCCGCCGGCGGCGAGGTCTGCAGGCCCCAGAGGCTCGACGCGCTCGTTTGCTCTGTCGGCGCGACCATCGGAGTCTCGCTGCAAAGCTGCAGTAGCTCGAAACAGAATACATCGAGCCAACGTGGCTACGGAAGGTTGTTAGCTTGTCGTTGGTATTCCTTGGTGTTCGTTTGTTGTTCTTGCTTGTTTCGATGCTGTTGTGGTTTGCTGTTGCGTCGGTTAGTGGTGTTGCTGTTGTGCCTGCTGTTGCTACTGCTGTTGTTGTTGGTGATGTCGTTGTGCTGGTTGCTGTTGCAATTGCTTGTGTGGCCGTTGCTGTTGTTTGCGCGTGTTGTGTTGCTTGCGTGTGCTTGTGTTATTTGTGTCGGTGGCTCCGTTGCTCTGCCACCTGTCTCCTATGAATTTTTCTCGCGTCTTCGAGGCCGGGGGCCACCTCGCTGAGAGTTCCCAGCACCTCGCCCTCACTCTGCCCGAAAGCACCTCGCTCAGAGCTCCCAGCGGCTCGCGAGGCGCCTCAGGGCTGAGTCAGGACTCGGGGCCGAGGCCGGCGAGGCATCGCGCTGCCCCGTCGTTGCAGGCTTGCAGAGGCTCCCGCGCTCTTCTCAGGGCCGAGCATGACCTCCAACTTCTTCTTGTTCTCGAGCTTGGTCCTCCAGCTCGACCTTCACGTCGCCCGGCTTAACCTCGAGTGTGAACTTCTTGTCGTCGAGTTTCTTGTCCTCGAGGCGCTTGTCCTTGGGTTTGCTGGCGTCCTCCCCCAGCGCGGTGCGTTCCGCCCCCCTCGTCCACTCGTCGCCCTTCGCCCACTCGCCGACGCTCTCGTCGTCCGACCGCTCGGCGACGTGCCGACGATCGTCGCTGCCCGACCCGGCCATGGGGCGCTGCGTCTCGGCCATGGGGCGCTGCGTCCTCAGCTGGCTTGGACTGCTTGAGCCTGAAGTGGTCGCGGTTGTTTGTTGTTCGTGTTGTTTGTTTTGTTACTGTTCTTGTTTGTCTGGTTGAGTTTGCTTTCCTCGTTTGTCTTGCTGCTGTTTGCGCGCGTGCAAGTGTGAAGCTGTGGTTGGTTATGTCTGCTGTTTGTCTTGGTGCTATTATGCCCTGCTGTTGCTGCTGTGCTGCTGTTTGCTATTGCTGTCGTGGCTGCTGTTGTGTGTGTGTTTGTGTTATTATGTGTGGGTGTGTGTTAGTGTGTGTGTGCGGAGGAGTGTGAGCGTGTGTGTGTGAGTGCGTGTGGGTGTGCGAGTGTGCGAGTGTGCGAGTGTGCGAGTGTGTGTGTGTGTGTGTGTCTGTGTGTTTGCGTGTGTGTGCGTGCGTGTGCGCGCGCGTGCGTGTGTGTGTGTGTGTGTGAGTGCGTGTGTGTGTGCGTGTGTGCGCGTGCGTGCGTTCGTTGATGCGTGCGCGCGCGCGTGCGCGAGCGCGTTTGCGCGCGCGCGTGGCCGCCAGGTGTCGAGGCTCAACCCTCGACCCTCGGATCGAGGACTCGAGATCCTGAAGTCTAAGCTCGGCGATCTAGCATCCGAGGTGCTCGCAGATGCTCAAGGCCAAGATCTCGGACCCTCGATCCGAGGATGGAGGGTCGAGCCTGCTCGGTGGCAGCGCGGGCCCGAGGACGACCAGAGGGGCGCTCTACTATCGCCGAGGCTCGGCACTCGAGCCTCGCATGTCAAACCCGAGATCGTCCAGTCCAAGCTTGGCGACCCTCGGATCATGGATCCGAGGTGCTCGCAGATGCTCAAGACCAAGATCTCGGACCCTCGATTCGAGGATGGAGGGTTTAGCCTGCTCGGTGGCAGCGTCGGCTCGGGGACGGCGAGAGGGGCGAGCAACTATCGCCGAGGCTCGGTCCTCGAACCTCGGACGTCGAGCCCGAGATCTTCCAGTCCAAGCCTAGCGACCCTCGGATCTAGGATCCGAGGTGCTCGCAAATGCTGAAGACCAAGATCTCGGACCCTCGATCCGAGGATGGAGGGTCGAGCCTGCTTGGCGGCAGCGCGGGCTCGAGGACGGCGGCGAGGGCGATCTACGATCGCCCATGCTCTGTCCTCGAGCCTCGGATGTCGAGCCGGAGATCTTCGAGTCCAAGCGTGGCAACCCACGGATCCAGGGTCCGAGGTGCTCGCAGATGCTCAACGCAAAGATCTCAGACCCTCGTTCCGAGGATGAAGGATCGAGCGTGCTCGATGGCAGTGTGACGATCGAAGATCGTCAAGGCTCGATCCTCGATCCTCGGATCGCGAACGCGAGACCTTCGAGTCCAAACTTGGCGACCCTCGAATCTAGGACCCAATGTGCTCGCATATGCTCGGACTCAAGATCTCGGGTCCTCGATCCGAGGATGGAGGATCGAACCGGCTTGATTCCTCAACGCTTGATCGGGGATCACTCGGAGAGGGGGAGGAGTAGCACCCCGCAGCTTGGAACGCCACTCGCGTCTGCTCGAGCACTCTCTTAGAGCATGAAAAGAAGATGGGGCTCGGGCGCGCGCCTCGAAGCGGCGCCCTCGCAGCGAAAAGCATGGGGCGCTTGGCCCGGGGAGCTCGCGCGCTCGGGCTCTGACTCGGCCTTCGCGTCGGCCTGGCTCCTCCCGCCATCGCGCTTGCTTATGATTAGCTTGCCGTAGTCGGCCTGGATCGACGCAAACTTGTCGAAGTGCAGCTTGCTGCGGTTCTGGAAGAGCATCTGATCGTGCTCCTGCTGCTTGGCGGTTTTCGAATAATCCCGCGCGGCGCGCTCGTCTTGGTAGGTCTGCCCCTGCAGCTCGTGGCTCATGTCGGCTGTCTTCTTGATTGACCATCGCCGCCTGATAATTGCTGGAGTGGTGGCCTTGGCGACCCCGTCGGTCGCGATCGAGACCATGGAAGTCTCGTTGCACCACTTGAAGTAGTCTCGGGCCCTGCTCGCAATCACGGCGTAGAGCATCACGGAATTGTCGGCGGGGCCCTCGCCCAAGTGCTCGACGGGCTCAAACTTTTTGCTGGGCGGCAGCACTAGCTCGTGGAGGTGGAGGAGCTCGGCGGGATGCTTGAGGGGGCATAGCCGATGTGCTCGGCGTAGGAGCCGTGGGTGAGCTTCTTGACGCTCTCGGCGCCGAGCTCCATGTCTCTCTTCTTGGCGAGCTCCTGCAGTTTGGCCCTGAAGCTCGGCATAAGCCAGAATGGTCCTCGGGCGGCTCCCCGCGGTTCTTGAAGACGTCGCGCACGTGATCGTCCTTCTCGCAGTAGGCCTTGTAGGACACCGCCACGGCCAGCTCGATGCGCCTCCTGTCCTTCTCGTTGAAGATGTGGCCGTACTCGATGTTTTTTTTTTTTTTTGGGGGGGGGGTCAATCGGGGCCCTCAGGGCCTCTTGAGTTCTGCGTGCAAGCCGGTCGGCGCTTTGGACGAGCAGTGCCACGCTCGGGCGGCGGCAGAGAGGGCAACCCTGCAGTTGGCAGCGCCCGCCTGCCGCGCGCAACGCTAGGCGTGCGCGGCGGCAACGCCATCAAACTCGGGGCCACTGACTGCCAACCGCGGCGAGCGGAAACGGGCGCATACTGCGCCGAAGAGGAACGGCGGAACGGCGACTGGCCTCCACCCCAAGCGGCAGCCAGGAGTCGGCGCCGTCTTGCTGTCACCCTCAATCGAGCTTCGAAGGCCTGAGCAGGCGAAGCAGGCCGCCCAAGGCGGCGGGCAGTGAGGGCGGCTGTGAATGCGCCCATGCAGGCGTTTAAAACTCGGCAGAAACTCATCGCGATGGAGGAGGAGGCAAGAAGGGAACCAATGGTACCTCACATTCCCATGGCGAACACAAGTGTCAGAACCCAACAATTGACCGAACAGCTGTTCAAGACGAGGGCAAGTCGAGTAGTGGCGAACAGAGTCCAGGTCCACTTCTGGGCGAGCAACACAATCGAAAAGGCATCCTGCAGCGCGCGTGTGAAACCGAGCGGAGGCACAGATGGATCCTGTGATCATCCGAAGAGGGGCCACTCCCAAGTACATCGATGTCTTCGTACAGATCTTGTGGCTCATGGCGCAGAGGTGGGCGATGTTGTCAGGGTGTGGGGGAAAGGGTCGAACATGCGCGCGCGCCGTACCAGTGCATCGCGCACGGGTCCAGGCCGTTGGAGAGCTCTGAACCCGAGGTCGAGCTGATGCTGCAACTTCTTAGATCCAGCGTGCAACGACAGTGGAAGACCGTAGAATCAGTCCTTCATCCTGCGGGCATTTCCTAAGAAGGACGAGACATTCCAACCCACGTGCCAACGGTAGGGGACGTGTTCCAGGTCGTTCCTAGATGCTTCCAGATCCGCCAGGACACCGAAAAGATTGCGAGAACGAAGCATATGCCGAATAAACGCAGCGCGAGACACCGCCAGAATATCCACAAATTCCGTGCCAAAGCCCAAGGACTTCAGGTGCACAGCGATGTACGGGGACCCGAGGTGAGTCTCATAACAGCTTCCCGAAAGATGTGTGCGAGGCGCGTGTCAGGCGGGCACAGGAAGGAGTGGAGACACACATGACACGAAAAGCGATGGCACTCTGAGCCACTCCCAGGCCAAGTTGGCGAGTTTGAAGAACACGGTCAAAGAAAGCAGGGATGATCGGGTCCCAGACCTTGTCGGAAGCCCCAGGGCCAATCGGGAATCCCAGGTAAACAGCCCACGCAACAACCTGGATCTGGTCGAAAGGGTCACCGAAACTCGCCAGCACAGCCTGTGGTCGGGCAGCATCCGTGCTGCCGCATAAAATATGTTGGCATGTTCTGAAGTTCAAAGTCAGGTTCGCGATGGGCTGAAGCATCATAATGGCAGTGAGGAGCGGGTTAAGATCAGAAAGCACATTCATCAGCCCAAAAAGGAAGTCGTCCGCATAAGCGAGAGCCAGGCTGATACTCTGCACACAGCGGCTCTGAAGCCACGAAAGTAGCGGGCCAACTGCAAGCACAAACAGGTGCATGGAGGCAGGGCAACCTTGCTTAACTCCTGACGCGATGGGGATGGTGTGGAAACGCTGACTGGCAATGGTAGCGATGGCGTTGTTATCGCGGTACATTTTTCGCAGAAGAAGATGGTTGCCGGTGGGGGCATCATCTGCCGGAGAACAAAGCAGAGCCAGGCTTGCGATAAGCTCGGGAAGGCTGGTGCACAATCTGTGAGAAACATAGCAGTGTGACGGTCGTCACGTAGATGGCGACACAATCCCCAAGCCTCTGCACGTACCACATTCTCGATCATGTCCCTTCCTCCCACTCACTTCTGAGCCTCTCCCACCAGTCCCTCAGTCGCTGCGATAACAGGGCAAATCATGGCAGATGCAAGCAGCTTAATGTCCGTGTTGCTCATACTGAGAGGCCTCGTGCTCGCGGGGGCTCGCGTGCGAAGCTGGCCAGGCTGATCTGTCTCATCCGATCCCCTTCGGCAGAAAAAACGAGCAAGCTGGTGCGCATGCTGTCAGGCAGGGTGTAGATGTCGTCAGGGAAGAGGGCGAGATCGCAAGAGTAGAGAAGACGAGAGGCGCCATGACACTTCCAGACGGCATAGGGTAAGCCATCAGGACCAGGCATGCTGCGAGGGCGTTTTTTGAGCATCTCGCACCACGACGCATAATCCATCTGCCAAGAGCCATCGATTGGGCCTCGAACGGTCTTGATGTGGGGGGTGATCTGGCCCCAGGGCGCCCGATCAACGGAAAGCTCCTTGAACGCATTTTCCTAATGGGAACCCAAGACATCGGCAGACTCCTGAGACGAGCGGCAAGCGGAACCATTGGAGTCAATCACGGAGCCCAGTACGGTACGACGACAAAATTTCTGCCAACGCTGTGAGCGACGACGGCGTCGCGCAGCGAAAGCGCGCTTCGCGTCGGCGTCGGGGGAGGCTCGAGAGAGCTCACCTTCCTCATCAGCAAGAACCCTGCGGAAAAGGCAATGAACATGCTGGCGCAGGCCGCGTAGATGAATGCAATCGAGGTCGTTGTTGAAGTGGGAGGAGAGGCGAGGATAAACATCAATGGGAGCACGAATGCGGGACTGATCCGAAGACGTCGCCGCCCGAAGAGCAGCCAGAGCATAACACGTGTTTCTTGTGAATACTGCAAGCTCCACGCTTGTGCACTGAGCGTTTGGCAGTGCGGCCAGCCTGAAAAAAATAATAATAATAATAAAAATCCCTTTTGCAAGCTCAAGGCGACGCCGCACATTCCAGCTCTCTGGGATGTCACTGAGCAACTGAGAGACCGCGAGGTTTAACTCCTCGGGCCCCGCAAGCCATGGTGGGATGGTAGGTTGGCTAGGATCGGGGACATATCTGCCAGCGGTAGCACGGACAGGAATGTGATCACTAGGAAGAGGGGAACGAGAGAACCAATGGTGGTGGTGGAGAGCGTGGGATCGTGGAGGAGAGCAGCGGGAAGCGATGAGCACATCCGATCTATACGTGATGTCTGGGCAACGGCCGAGCCCCTCCTACCGCGACGAGTGTCCTGATCCTGGAAGAGCTCCGTCAAGGAAGAGAAAAGTCGCGAGAATAAGCGAGCGTGGCGAACGTCCCCACCGCTCAACCCACTACCAGCCCCAACACGCCTTCCCTCCCCTTCGAATGCGAAATTCCAGCCGCCAAGAAGCAACACGCGCGCAGGAGCCGCACTGCCTCCAGGCAAGTGCCGAGCCACATCGCGCTGTAACCAGTGAAGAACGTCGGAGAAGAGGGCGAAAGAGTCCGAGGTGCTCGGTAGGTGGAGGTTGCATAGGATGAGGTTCCCAGGTCGACCCAAATATTCCCTCTTGAGGATCCCCCCAACGATCAACGGCGAGTGGACAACGGAGTCAAAGAGGGAGAGGAACTCAAGCGAGAACGCGGACGTAACTCCGCCTTCAGCCTGGGAGTCGTCAACGAACGAGGCGGCAAATCGGTGATGTGGCAAGTCGCGTTCGAGTTCTCCGATGCCACCCCGGTGCCCATGCGTTTCTTGTGCTGCGGTGATGTGGTGTTGCTGACAAAGCTGTAAGAACTGTCTGTAATGGGCTGGGGCTTTCCAACTCGCACTGCGAACTGATGCGAACAATGTTTCCGTGTTCCAGGTGCAGAGAGAGAGGGGGGGAGGGAGGAAAACACAGAGAACAAGAGAAACAGGGGGAGGCTGCACCTTGGGGCGAGAGCAGCCCTCCTCAGCGCGAAAAGGGACGGCGAATCCTCGTCGCCGCCGCTGCCTGCACGGACTCGACCAATGAAACGATATCGAACTCGACGAACGTGTCACGTTCAACTTCGCAAAGGATGTCATTGTCAGCTGAGACGCAAATCTTGACGGCTGGGACTGGGTCATGGGCTTTGCGAAGGATGTATGCAGCGCCGCCAAGACCCGAACTGCCGATCTCGAACCCTTTGGGCTCGAGCTCAGCAGCGAGCATGGCTCGGGCGCGTCCCAAAGACAAGAACATCTGACGAGCATGGAGGTCGAGGTCCCGTGGGAGGCGGAGAACAAGGGGGGGGGGGGGGGCAAGGGTGGAGGGGATCGGTAGTAGACCATTGTCCGCCCGCGCGGGTGAAATTGTCTAAAAAGGAACTAGCGGCATTCGCGTTCTCGAACAGGAGAGTAACCTGCTTGGACATATCAAAAGCCCGAACCACGATCGAGGCCTGTGTTTGCGTGGGCGCAAAAGCTGCTTTACATGCATCACCGATGGTCTTTTAATCGTCTAGCAGGAACGGGCGAGGGAAGCCAAGGAGAATCAGCTTGCAGGCGTCATGCTGCTGTCGCTCGAAGGATGCGCTGCCCGCAGTGCGTCTTGTCGCGCGCGGAGAGGCCGGCGGCGTAGGAGTCGAATGAGCGAGACAGTAGCGGGCATCTGCGGCCTTCTGGGCCGATTTGAGCTCGTCAATCTGAGACTCGAGAACTCGGCATTTCCCCTCCAAGTCGACAGTGGTTCCACTCGTGGGGATACGGTCCTGTCTCGACGCGATACCAGAACATGCTGATAAGTGGCGCCGGCGGTGAACCGTCAACCTGGTCACCGACGGGAACCTCGTAGAGTTCCTTGCACGCGTAAGAGTCCGCAGAATCGAAGCAGACAGCTTCTCGGAGCATTTCTAGAAAAAAACTTCAAATTTGCATTTTTCGGTGTCATCCTGATGTCGGTTGCTCCACATGTTTCGATAGTAAAACTAGCTCTAGAGAGCTGATCTGCTCTCAGCATAAAGTTTCACCACTGATGGAGGACGTAAAAATCTGGTTTCCCAAAACGATGTGCCAAATATCTTTCAAATATTAGCAAAACCGACCCAAAATCACCACATTGCCCCTTCTGGTCGGGTCGACCAACTACCTCCAACTCCCGCCGGAATTCCGCTCATCGATCACGAAGAACTCCACGAGGTACATGACTGTTGACGGAGGCGCCCCCCCTGCGAAGCGAAATCGTGAGGAAGTGCTGGCTGAGAGAAAGGTTGCCTTGGAGGGAAAGGATGACGTGCAGTGTATGCACAAAATAGATGACAAGACTGAGAGGATCCAGGAATACACAAGAGCTCAGGGAACGAAAATCGACACGTCAACGTTGGTTACCGCCGGGAGACTCGTAGAGCTTCCTTGCCATATACCATATATCCAAAGCATTAGCAGAGTACGAATAGTTGTTTCAGTCCGGGCGCTGATAGCAGACTGATTTCAGGCGTCTAGATACATTTAACTTGCACCCCTCACGAGAGTCCAAAAAGCCAAAAGCCAAAAAACACCTGAAGACCCGGGTCCCTCAGGACCCTTCTCCTTCATGGCGAAGAGAGAGAGGAGGCCGACGACGACGACGAGACCGACGACCACGTTGACGCCGATGACGGCGACAACGCCGACGACGCCGACCAGACCGACGACAACGACGAAGCCGCGGATGACCACGATCGCCCTCCGATCGGCGGGGTTTGAGGCGCGGGCGCCTCGCCCCGTCTCGCCGCCGCATCCGCCCTCTTCGACGATGACGTCTTCGACGTCGACACCTTCGACGTCGGCGCCTTCGACGTCGCCGCCGTCTTCGCCGCCGGCGCCGGCGACGACGACGGTCCCCGGGCGCACCCAGGGCCTCTCTGGCGGATGGGCCGCGCCTCCGACCGGCACAGGCGCCTGAGGCCGGCGCTAGTTCCATGCTGGCGGGGCGGCCCTCCGCGCGGCGCGCGGTGGTCTGCCGGGGCCCTCGAGGAGGCCGGGCCTCTTGACGTCGTGGCCTCTTCGGCGCGGGCTGTTGTGTAGGCTCTGCCTGACGCCTCCCCTATACTCCTCCTCCTCCAACTTCTCCTCCTTCTCGTCCTCCTTCCCCTCGCCCTCCTCCTCCTCCTCCTCCTCCTCCTCCTCCTCCTCCTCCTCCTCCTCCCAGCTCGAAAGCTCCGGGGGGATCCCTCGCTGAAGAAACACAACGTCGGAGGTCGGGGATGTCGACACCAGCACCGATTCATCGGCGGTCTTCACTGAGGGAAACGTACCCCCTTTGTCCAGATGTTGCTGGTGATGCGTACTTTGGCCTCTTATCAGCACGGCCACTAGCACGCAGGTAGGAGGAGGTCGCATTCCCTCGGCAGATGCCACTGAGGGTGCTGGTGCCAACTTCTGGGCCTCCAAGTCTGAGCGCGGCGCGGTGGGGGCCGGCGGTGGCTGCGCGCCTGGGCCTTTCTGGAAGGGGGGGGGGGGGGCGAGGCGAAGCGAGGCGAGCGCGCGGTACCGCCGCGGGGCCCTTGGGCGCCTGCGCGGCGGGACCAGAGCCCTGAGTTCGTGGTGTCCGTGCTGCGGCATCCAATCGCATTCTGAAGGAATTTGCCCTCTACCCCGTGCCACTTGCGGGGAGGAGGAGGAGGAGGAGGAGGAGGAGGAGGAGGAGGAGGAGGACGGAGGACGGAGGAGGAGGACGGAGGAGGAGGAGGAGGAGGAGGAGGAGGAGGAGGAGGAGGAGGACGGAGGAGGGGGAGGAGGAGGAGGAGGAGGGGGAGGAGGAGGAGGAGGAGGACGGAGGAGAGCGAGGACAACGTCGACAAGGGGCGCGCTCGGCTTGGAAGCTTCACGGCGCCGCTGCCGTAAGCAGGCTGCGGAGGCCCGCGCGTCGCCGCGCCAGCACGCACGCGCGAGCACGAGAAGGCGGTGGGGGAGCAACACGAGCACGAGGAGCAACACGAGGAGCAACACGACCACGAGGAGCTCGCGGAGCAACATGAGGACCAGCGCGAGGAACAACACAAGCACGAGGAGCAACGCGAGCTGCGGCGCCGACGCTGGCTGTCGCGAAGGGGCCGTACCAAGACTGGGAGGGGCAAGGAGTATGGAAAACCAAATCCCGTCAGATGCCATTTCGGCTTTATTGCTTCTAGCTGCCAGCATGGGCTCGCGCTCTAGTCTCTGGGCCAACTTGGCACTAGCAGCAGGTGGGCTGCTCACACAAGAATACCTGACAAGCAAACTCAGATATTCAATTCTGGTGAAGCAGGTGCCTGCCTGCGTTATTCCATCCTTTCGTCATTCCCCCGTGGAGTGTCAAGAACCGCCGCTGGGAAGCCAACAATTCTTGAATGTTTTGACCAGAAGGAACTTCCCACGTTTGTCTCGAACAAGCGGGCTGGGACGATGAGTGCCAGGCCCACCCCCCGCATCCATGCACACTTACTGCAATCAATCTGCCTGTTTCCTGGCCGCGCGCTGCACCGCGGCCGTGGTGCGCCGGCCATGACCTGCCTCAGGCTTCGGAGGGATGGCCACTAAGCGGTACACCCCAGTCAAAGCCGCCGCCGGAGGGGGCGCATGCCAAAGGAAAGAGACGAGAAGGAGGGGACGACGAAGACAAGGGCGCGCTGGTGCCCTCGATCTTGGACAGCACTCCCCGCTCCACGGCCCCTGAAACCAATATACCCGAAACTTCACGTGGTCAACCACGGTGTCGTGTGTTATTTCGAAGAGGCTGCAAATGCGAGAGGGAGGGTTGCGGAAAAGGTGAGACAGAGACAGCGACAGAAACACAGAGAGTCACGCAAACAAGGACAGAGACGGAACCAGACACAGAGGCAGAGACACAGAATGGTATGTGGAGGAAGGCTGAGGCAGCGACTGAAACAGAGAGACTGAGAGTGGCAGACATATATGAGCAGATCACAAGCAAGACACAAACAGACACGAGACAAGGCAATGTAGAAGCTGACAGACGACAGATAGGCAGGCAATGGCAGGCAGGCAGGCAGATACGTATGAAGGCAACGCCGAAGGAGCAGACACAATTGATTCGACGCGGGGATCCCCATACTTTCACATTTGTTTTACGGTTTTCCTATATGAGTGCCTGGTTCAGTGTAAGCGAATAGTGGGTGAGAACGAGTCTGAGAGTCAGAGTGCGCACGAGTCTGAATACAAATGTCCACGAGTGCCTGGTTCTGACTGGGTACGAATCAACTGCGAGAACGAGTGTCTGAACACAAATCGGTGTGAATCTGGATAGGTCGGCCTATCCGTGAAAAACGGGCGTTCTGATCAACATCTGGGCGCAAACGGGCCCGTGGAACTCCCTTGCCGACCCCCCTTCGTCCTGGAAGGCCCGGGTGCGGTGCACATGCTGCATCGCAGCGTTTATGTGGAGCTCCGAAGAGAGGCTCATCGACTCGCCAAAAAGTGCGCTCTACTCGAGATTGCAAGCCGATATGGGTGCTACCGGGCCCGTGGAACACCCCTGGTGGTCCGCCTTGGGAGGCCCGACCGAAGGCGATGCCTGCTGCATCGAACACATCATGGGGCTCTGAACAGGGACTCGTATATTCAACACAACGGGCGTTCTAGTCAAGATGTCTCGCACATCTTGGCGAAAACGGGCCCGTAGAACACCCCTGGTGGACACATACCCGCCTTGAGAGGCCCGGGCGCGATGCATGCTACAACGCGGTGGCCATGAGCGCGAATAGACCCCTGGAACAACCATTCTGGAACCCGTTGGAAGGACTGATCGCAGTGCCAGCTACATTGAGACTTTGAAGAGAAACGCGTCTACTCCCCAAACGCAAGCTAGATTTCTACCAAACCTGGCCCCGAACGGGCCCTTATCCCACGTCAGCTCCCCCTGGAGGCAAATCATGCGATGTCAGCTTCATCGGGGTGATTGCCTGCCACAAGCTAGTGTGTGTGTGTGTGTAAGTGTGTGCGTGTGTGTGTGTGTGTTTGTGTGCGAACGCAACTGAGTATCAGAGAGCCTGAGTGTGGGTAAGTCTGAGTGTGAGTGAGCCTGAGCGTGAGTGAGCCTAAGCATTAACGAGACTGAGTGTGAGTGAGCCTGCAGGTAAATGAATATGAATGTAAATGCTTCCTAACGCGGGTTAATCTGAATACGGGTCGATCTCAGTCTGAGTGACTCTACACACGAACGGCTGGGGGTGAAGAAGGGAGGACTGACGCGGG